TTTTCCTCCTAGCGCTTTCTGTAGGACTAGATTTGCGGATAGGTATTGTAAATCTGGTTTTGTCATGGTATATCCATGGAATATATTTTTTCTCCATGTATGGTAATTGAAAATTTTGTTGGGTATGGTAGTCTGGGTTGGCCTCTATGCTTTCTTAGTGTCTGCATAATATCTGTCCAGGGCCTTCTAAGCTTTTAGTGTCTCCATTTAGAAGTTGGTTGTTATTCAAACGGGTCTACCTTTATATGTTACTTGACCTTTTTCCTTTGCAGCTCTTAATATTCTTTCTATTCTGTATATTTTGTATTTTAATTATTATGTGGTAAGGGGACTTATAGTGCTGTATTTTTTATGTTTTAATAAATAATGCTTGCCTGAAGATCAGAGGGCAAAGCAGCCATACTAGTCAGCCGTACAGACCAGAGAGTGGTGGCATACACCTTTAATCCAGGACTGGGAGAAGGAGGCAGAGGGACCTCTGAGTTCAAGGCCACATGGGGCTACACAAGATTGAGTATGTCTAAAAGAGAAAGAGAGCTCACACAGAGGTGATCCCAGCACTTTGGTTTCCACACCTTTAATCCCATCACTAGGAAGGTAGACATAGGAGTGATGATATGGCTGGGCTGAAAGAGGAATATAAAGGGGAAGAGACAGGAGCTCAGTGGAGTGTGAAGTCTGAGGTTGGTGGAGAGCATTGCAGGATCATCCCTTTGTTTGTCTGAACCTTGGTACAGGCAAGATCTCTCTAGTGGCTTGGCTACTTTGCTTTTCTGATCTTCAGGTTGAACTACAATATCTGGCTCTGGGTTTTTATTATTCATGCTACAGGGATTTGGTGAGGGGGGTTTGGTGTTCTGTAAGCTACTTGTATCTTCATAGGTAACTTGTATCTTCATAGGTATTTGCTTCTTTAGGTTGGGAAAGTTTTCTTCTATGATTTTGTTGAATATATTTTCTGTGCCTTTAAGCTGGTATTCTCCTTCTCTCTCTATTACTCTTAGGTTTCATATTTTCATGGTGTCCAGATTTCCTAGATGTTTTATGGCTTTAATGTTTTTTTTTTTTGACCGATGTATCTTTTTCCTCTATCATGTCTTCAACAGCTAAGATTCTCTCTTCCAACTCTTGTATTCTTTTGGTTATGTTTGTATCTGTAGTTCATGTTCATTTACCTAGGTTTTCCATTTCCGGGATTTCCTTGGCTTATGTTTTCTTTATTGGCTCTATTTCAGTTTTCAAGTGTTCCTTTACCTGTTTGATTGCTTTTTTTTTTTTTTTTTGGCTTTCTTTCAGAGATTTATTGATTTCTTTCCATTTTTTTCTTCTTTTTCTCCATTTCTTTAAAGGAATTTTTCATTTCCTCTTTAAGGGTCTCTGTCATCTTCATGAAGTTATTTTTAAGGTCATTTTCTTCTGCTTCTGGGTTACAGTGTTCAGGTCTTCTTGTTGTAGGACTGTGAGGTTTTGGTAGTGTCATATTGCCTTTTAGGTTGGTGAATGTATCCTTGCTTTGGCAACTACCCATCTGTTACTCCAGTTGGTGTAGGCAGTGTCTTTCCCTCTTCATCCCATCATTGCTGTTGGTGTCTGTGTCTCAGGGAACCTCTCTTGGACTGAGTGGTGCATTCACTGTCTATCTCATGGTGCTCTTGATGCACTCTGTGCAGTCACTGTGTATCTCTCAGGAAGCCACTGAAGTCTGGGGAGATGGGTGGGTTTGGGAGTGGGACTTTTAGATTGCAGGCTCCGATATGGGTGTGTGTGTGTGTGTGTGTGTGTGTGTGTGCTGGAGGCTTGCCCTTGCAGCTGAGGTGGGCAGGGGCGGGGAGGGGGTTTTGCCTAGGGACCTAGCGCCTAGAGACAGGGCTGTCCATCTGATATGCTGGTTATTCTTCTCTTGGTCCTCTGTATCCAGTTACAGTCTGTGTCTCCAGTAGCCACCGAGGTTGCTGGGGCTAGGGACAATAGGTGCATTTGGGGGCAGAGTGGGTCTTGTAGATTGCAGGTTCCATGGCTGGATGGAGGGGAGGGTGCTGGGGCTGCCTGCCTGCAGGAGGCTTGCCTTAGTCCCTGAGGCTTGTGGGGGGAGGGGACGGGGTTTGGAACAGAGACTAGGGCCTAGAGACTGGGCTGTCCAGCTGAGAGACTGGCATTCACCTCTGGTCCACTCTATGCAGTTGCAATCTGTCTCAAATAAGCTTTTTAAAAGGAAAGTGCGTCCTGGTTTCCCAGCTCACCTGTGCTCTCAGCTCAGCTCTCTGGAGCAGCGCTCACCCCACAGCACACAAAACCACTGGCCTTAGCTAACTCTTACATTTTTAAATTAACCCATTTCCATTCATTTTCTTGCTGCCCTGTGGCTCATGGCTTGTTACCTCATTTTGTACATGTCCTGCTTCCTCTGCATGTGCCTGGTGACTCCTCTGACTTCACCCTTCTTCTTCCCAGTGTCCTCAGTTTGGTTTTCCTGCCTAACCTTATCCTGTCCTTCTATTGACTGGTCGGCTTCTTTATTAAACCAATCACAGCCAAATTTACATAGCGTACAGAAGATTAATTCCACAGCATAAATAAATATAAATAAAAGAAGATGTAGTGAAAAATGTATTTCTCATGTGTATGAGTAAAGAATGAATCTCAAAGTTAAATAACATTTGAGTCAAGCTTCAATTCTATTGCAGTATGTTCTAGAAACTTTGGTATTTAGTAGATAAAAACTCCAATTTTCTTTCATTGGAATACATGGTAGAAAAAGTTTTGATGTCCTAATCCCTATGTTAAAGGTAATAATATGCCAGAATATAAATCAGAATTTTAATAGTTTCTTAATAAAACTCAAGCACTGGTAAACCCTTTTTAGTCTCCTAAATTTAATAAGAGGGAAATGCCTTTCTGACACATCTAAATTTTCGATGTAATATCATAACTTCATGTGTTTTAGCTGTTTTACTTGAGGCATATGTACATAACTTTTTGAGCATCATTTAGTTTATAATATGCTCATTTTCTAATTGTCACAATTACCCCAAAGCATAACATTTCTTTATTCAGCATCAGATATATGCACAAAGGGAATTAAAATTTATGAGGTTTTGTGACCTTAGCACAATGCCCTTACACAGTAAGTTTCAAACATGTTTTTTAATTATTTGTTTTCTTTCTGCTTATAAAACAAACATTAGTGAGCAAAATAATCCTTTATATTAAATTCCACAGCGAGTTTTGTCTAGGTTTAGATTTTTCCAAAGAGATCTTGTAAATTGACATTTTCATAAGATATCAAGCAGTTTGAAAGTTGTGTTTACTCTTACATGTACTTTTCGTATCTTGGCATGAGTGAACATTGTACATATAACATGTATATATGTGCTTATCTGCCTATACATTTAAGGAAAGTTATAATTGGAGAGGTGTGACAGAGGAGGAGATGTGCATATATGAAGAGGAGATTTCTGACATGAAAGGCAACAACATGGCTTAATGGTTATTGTATATAATGTTGTTGCCATTATAGAAGTGGTTTCTGACTGGAGAGCTGGCTCAGTTGCTAAGAGCACTTCTGTTCGAGAAGACATGAGTTTGATTCCCAGTACTCCCAGGCAGTTCAGCAACTCCAGTTTCAAGGAATCTAACAGCCTCTTCTGGCCTCTCGCACCACACATGCACACGGCGCACAGACATTTATGTACGTATTTAAAATAAAAGTGAATAACTTTTAAATAAGCAGAAAATTAGAAGTAGTTGCTTAAGTTAGCTGTTTTAGTCCAAGCTTCATTATAATTGTTGAGATGCCCTTTTGTCTCCTTGTTTCTTCCCCCATGTATATGTGTGTGTCGTGGTGTTCATGTGCATGTATGCAAAGTGCAGAAGCATTGAGTTGTGCCTGGTTCTGCTTGGACCCTGAGTGGATCCTAGACACTCTTTTGTGGAGCTTCTTCTTCAGGGAGGTGAAATATGCTTTTCTTTTAGGTTCCCAGAGGCTTAGATCATGATACAAGGTTTAAAAGTTTACAAATTTTTCTTTTAGAAAGGAAGCTGCTCCTTTCCAAGAAATGTTCTATTAAAACTCACCAATCCTTAAATTAAGCTTCTTTGACTCTGTTTTTGCAGTAGCCACTACTGTAGAACTTCTATTCATTACTCTTAATTAGTTCAAGTGGTTCAAGTTTTTCTCATATTCAAATCCTTACCTCCCTCCCTTTCCTTCCCTTTCTCTTCCCCCCCTTTCTCCCTCATGACTACCTTCCTCTTTTTGTTTTATGTGTATGAGTATTTTGCCTGTGTGAACATATGTGCGGCATGTGTCCAGTCTGGAATCTCAGACAGTTGTGGGTGCTGGGAACTGACCCTAGGTCCTCTGTAAGAACAAGCTGGTGAATCATCTCTTTAGCCCCAAAGTACACTTTTTCTTTAATACTATGGAAAAGTAGTTTTTTAAAGCTCCTAAAAGTATGTGAGTATTGAGGAGTGTAAGAAAGCTGCTGTTTTATCCTGCCCCTCACACTGCTGGTGTATGACTTTCTCAAGCAAAGATAGAGATTTAGGTTGCCCCTGGATGTCCTCATTTCTCTCCAGCCACCCAGGCAAGTGCAATGTCAAAAAGAAAATGAATGTTTGACAGCTGTGGAACCATTTATTAAATGTGAGGCTGAGACCACCCAACAGGATGGTTTGTAGTTACTCACTAGTGGGATTGAGAGAGAATCCTAGGTGCAGAATCTACATTCCCACGTTATATAAATTGTCCATCTGAAAGACGGTTTTTTTTTATTTTTGACTATTTTCTTTTGAGATTAAGTAGCTTCAGGTTTGTTTATATTCTATCGAATATCGTTACTAAAATTACCAAACTGTTCATAGAGGTCATTTCTTTCCCTCCCTGGGCTGTTCTGTTACATAGCTACTTGTAAGTTTTGTACAAGGGTGTTTTATATTATTGAGACAAGCAACGCAGTCAGTATCGTTTTCCTCATCTGTTGTTTTTCTTGGACTTGTAGGATGTGGAGAGCATCTTGTGCGCACCATACTGGCTAGAGAATGTTCACACGCTTTACAAGCTGAAGATGCTCACCAAGCTCTGTTGGAGACTATGCAAAACAAGTTCATCAGTAAGTGGAATTTTGGGAAAAGGACACCGTCTCCTTATAGAGAATTTCCTTGAGCTGTATACATTTGGAATCGGTTTTCCCACATAAACCTCTGGACTTTTCTCCACTGCCTAACATGAAGTCAGACCTTCAGAAAACTCTATTACAGTAGCTGCTACAGCATGAGATCAGCTATTTAACTAATTTAGTGTCTAGATTCTGAGACATTATCTAGCATTAAAGTTACAAGTACTAAAATGGAAATCTATAAAAGAAATTCAAGGGGCAATGTGCTATAGCATGTTTGAAATGCAGTTGGAGCATTGTATCCTTCTCATGTTATTGGCCTGTGCACTGCACAGGGTCAAGATTGAATCCTACATTTGCCCAGTCCTCTTACTAGATGTTCATATATGTATGTGTTGATGTGTTGGGGAATAATCTGAGGATGGAGGACAGAAATTTCCTTGTTTGCTTTTTTGAGTTGAAGAAAGAATCAGTGGAAAAAGTGGTCTATTTAGGTTTTGAGACAAAGTAGATATGACACTCCTGTCTAACCAGGATAGAAGCCATATGATAGATTAAATTGGTGAAGTCTAAAAAGAAGACTTTTTGACTAAGTTAAACAGTAGCTATAAAACAACTAGAGAGTATTCGCTACTGTGCTGGGTAGTGTTTATGTGAATTTGACTGTATCTGAGGGTCACCTGAGTAAAGGAAACCTCAACTGAGAAAATATTTCCCTTAGACTGGCTCTAGGCAATTCTGTGGTTCATTTTCTCATTTGATAGTTGATGTGAAAAGGATAGCCCACTGTGGACAACGTTACCCTTGGGTAGGTAGTTCCTAAGTTGTATCAGAAAGCAAGCTTAGCAAGCCAGTCAGCAGTGCCCCTTCATTGCCTCTGCCTTAGCTCCTGCCTCCAGGTTCTTATTTGAGTTCCTGCCTTGACGCCCCTCAGTAACGGAGCACGACTGGAGAGTTGTAAGCTGAGAAACTAACCAACCATACCTTTTCTCCCCAAATTGCTTTTGGTCATGGTGTTCATCATAGCAACAGAAACCCTGGGGACAATAGACAGGTACCCTGGGATGAAAGTTTCCCCAGAAGAACACACTTGGAGAGATTTTAAATCCCATCGCATCAGAGATCCAGATTGACTATCAGACAGCTGAACTCTGCTGGTTGGTTTAAGATAAAATGGGTCTGGAATTAAATGAAACAGGTCATGCTCCAGAATTCAGAAAGACCACAGATGCTGAGCTCTGGGTAACTTGTGTACAGTGGGTGCCCTGTGTCAGGGAGGGTGAGGTTTTTAGAACATGTAGGTACAGAGAACGTACAGAAGGGACTGCTTCACAGATGACCCTCTGGGATGCAGGAGCTTGTTGAGAGAGTCATTGATGACAATTGCGTTCACTCTATTGAGCCTAGCTTCTGTGTTGAGGACTGTAGAAGAGTTATCACTGGGCTCGGCTGCATGGCTTTAGATGAACACTTTTTGGACCATTAGCTCAGGCAGACCCTGTTAGGTGGCCTTGTACCCAAACTCTCAAGCCCACCACTCTCTCCAGTCTGTGCTGGAATTTATAAGAGGGGTCCATATTGTAGCTGCTCATCTTCTCTAACTTTAACTGTTTACTTACCTTTCTGCTAGTTAAATAAACTCATTATTTTTATATTACATATATACATATATATATATATATGCATACGTACACACTATTTTGTACTATTATATTTTATTGTTGTTTTTGGTGGTACCTGGAATTCAGGGAGCATCTGTGTTCTGGGGTCTTATGTGGAGGGACACTCTGATTCTGCAATACATTTCCTCAGCTCTTGTCTTCTGCCAATGTATGACTTGCCCTCTACTTGTTTGTAGGCAATAAGCCTTTGTCACCATTGAATTCATTGTGGTAGCTGTAGCTTTTGTCTTCTGTAGCCCACACAGCAACCACTGACCACAGACACTCAAGTGACAGACAGCTCACCTTCTCAGCTACATGTTTACTCTGAGCCTTTTCAGTGAGCCCTGGTAGTTCAGACAGGGATCCCAGAACCTCTGGGATACTTTAAGGGGTGGTCAGGTCAGACTCTCCTGCCTTACCTGTAGAGCAATTTGTTATTCTGTGTGTGTCTGGAGTGGGGAGCTTCACGACCAGTTTCTTTCTTTTCACATCTGGCTGGGAAAGGGCACGGGTCTCTTCTCCTTATTGATTTCTCCAAATATCGCTGGGACAGTTTTGTTGTCTCCTTTTTCTCCTTCTTTTTACTGTAGACCCGGGAAGAGGAACAGAGTCTTACTAGCGACTAGCCTTCTTTAGTTTTCCCATAAGTCACACATCAATTCCTAGCTCTATTGTAAAGATTCTTATGGGAACCAGGCTAAGGAAGTATTTCTCCAAACTACTGCGTTTTCAATAATCTAGGCTTTACCTACTCCAAGTTTTTTGCCCTCTGAAGTTGTCACAATTTAGAAAAGCCCACAAAGAAGCCCAAAGGGTGAAATCAAATTCAATCAGATTCACTGATGAGAAAATGAATGGATCCTACTGAGGAACTAAACTCTGAATGACCTCGTCAAAATCCTAAATTGTCACCTTGATCTTTTAAAAGCAGCATGCTCTGTTTGAAAGGTGGTTTCAGCCACACTCAGAGAAAATAACAGATTATCTTAGAAAATTATATTTATTTATGGGAAAATAGAATGGCTGACCAAAGGAAAATTTATTTCATAAGGAAAGAATTTTGAACAGGTATATTCTTACGTTTTTATTGTGGGTGTGTTGCCTGTATATATGGCTGTGTACCTCATGTGTGCCTAGTGCATACGAAGACCAGGAGAATTCCTTGGATCCTTCAGAACTGGAGTTGCAGATGGTAAGCTACTGTGTGGGTTCTAGAAATTGAGCCCAGGTCTTTTGGAAGAGCATCAAGTGTTCTTAGATGCTGAGCCATCTTTTCAGTTTGCTTTCTTTTGTTTTGTTTATAACTTTATTTTCATTTAAAGGAGGTTAATTATAAATGATTAATGGTTACAGTCAATTTCTTATTTATTTATTTATTTATTTATTTTATTAGAAATTCCCGCCTCCCTTTTCCTTTCCGCTCCCTCTCTAGTCCTAGGAGCAGTCAGGGTTCCCTGCCCTGTGGGAAGTCCAAGGTCCTGCTTTCTTACATTGCCTGTACTAAGGTTATGAAGACTGTGAAGAGAGCCAAATGTGTGTGTGTGTGTGTGTGTGTGTGTGTGTGTGTGTGTGTGTGT